TTTCTCAACCGTTTTCAACCCCCATTTAGACACTTCCCAAAAAGCATTTAAAAATATTATATGTAAGTCAGTCCCTATAGAACCACTCCCTTTAACCACCAAACAGTTATTTCAAACCACAAACATCTTTTCTTTAACCCCCCCGACCTATTTTTAACCACCCCAACCCATGTTTTAATCTTTAAACCCTTCCCGAAAAACTAGGGAGTTCTTTCTTTCAACCCCCTAACCCTCTTTTTGAACCCCGAACGCTTTTCTTTACCCTCAATTCCTTTTTCGACACACCTTTTTCTTAACCCCTCAACCCTGGATGCGATCCGCGCGAGCTGTGTTCCACCTCGGAATCTATGCTTGAAGCCCTAGCCTTCTATCTCACGCAACAAAACCACTGCGCCCCCTCGCTATATCACCTTGAAGCTTTATCATGTTCGGAGTCCTGCGGGAAAGCCAATGACACGGGATTGAACATGTTGCAGCAAGAAGAAGATAGGACCGCCGCATGCAATGCCGGGGGAGGCGCTGCGCCCTCCGAAGCTAAAGACGAGTACTTGGGTGTGCTTTGGAGTAGGGGAACTAAAAAGTGGGTTGCAACTTGCTTGCGAATGCAATCATTTGCTTAGAGCCTGTCTAATACACTAGAAGTAGCGCAACTTTTGAAGACTTCTGCGGAAAGTTATGGGTTACTTAGGAACTTGTTCCAATATTTTCCAAAACATAGCAAGAGTTATATTTATTTATTTCGAGGGGTTTGTCTTCAAAGTAGCTGGCTTTCAGCTTGAGAAGATTGTCATTTCAAACGACTGTTTATCCAAAAGCTGCGCCGCTGAAGCTGAAGCCAACCTTCTCAGTTCACACGTATTTACACCTTTTGGTTGCCGTTTTCATTTTCGGTTTTCACCGCAATGTGGCTTTCACCGCTGCTGTTCTCACCACACCCAAGTAGGAGGTTCAAAATAAATTGCGGGGCTTAAGCAAAAGGTCGGGGAGTTGAAACAAAGGGGTTGGTGGTAAAGCAGGGGGCTGTTGTTCAACGGAAAGGTTTGGGTCTTAAGGAAAGGGTTTGGAGGTTAGAAGAGAGGCATGGGAGGTTCAAACCACGGGTTGGGAGGTTAAACAATGTGTAGGTTAAACAAAAAGGGTTAGGGGGTTCAAAAGGGGCGCCGCCATGTTCTGTTCCAGTCCACACCTCCATGTCCGGTAGGTAGCGATCCGCTTGGTGGACGACGTCCGGGCCTTAGCGACCCGCAGGTGTGCGCCGGAAGTGACGGTGAGAATGACTCCGAATGACAGATCATGACAGATGTTGCTCTGTATTTCTAGTAGGGAGACCCCGGGTAGACGGGTCAGTTTCCCTTCCTTCCAACAGGTATTTTGGGAGGTCTCCGTGTTTCTATGCACACTCAATGTTGTTTTCCACGGCCACTGAGGCAGAGCTACGTGTGGTCTGCCGTGCCCTTTGCAGCGGCCGCATCGCAGAGGTGAAGGATTTCAACGGTTCTGAATGGCTTGTACACAGCACAATTTGATGGGTTTTGCTGGTTTTGCAGGTGATGATGTCGAAAGTGCCATGAAAGTCAGGAAGCATCACTGAGATTGGGCACGCACATGAAGCGGCTGTGAACCTTGAAGCATGAGCATGGGTTCCTACTCCATATCGTTTTCGTGAGGGTAGGACTTTCGGGATCAGGTGAAGGCGTCCAACCTCCAGGCGCTTGACGTGCGCCCATTGAAGGCTGGGAGTTTCCTCTCCATTGCAGTCGCAATTGTTGCTCCCTTCAAACCCGTTGCCGCAGCGTGGGTAGGGGATGTAAGAATGTCAGGGGATTTTCATAGAATCGTTGCACAGTGGTGTGGCCATGGGAGAAAACGTTTCTGCTCAGAACAACCCATTTGTGGAGGCCTCCAGCAGCCTCGCAGCTTTGAGCTCCTTCGAGGAGGGGATTGGGGATGGGACACAGGCGACTGCCGGAAGCAGCACTGGTAGCACTGGCATTGAACCACAAGGTGTTTGGTGATCTTGAGAATGCTAAGGGTGCCAACTTCCAACCTTGAACTGCAGCCATGTGACGATGATGTTTGTCTTGTATATACCGTATATTCGTGTTGTCTTTAGACATCGCCAGGAGCTTTTCTTCGTGGGGGAGATGGAGGAGCTTGGCCAGGACAGGGAGTGGGGCCATGGGAGTTTAACTGGGACTGACTTCGCAGACTGGGACCTTTTCCTCTTGGCACGTTCTGGGACCTCGTCACCTTCTGTGCAGATTCCAGGAGCAGAGCAGCTTTGGCTATGTCCAACTGGGACAGTAACTTGGTAGATCTCGGTATGGCGTGTGATGTGGCCCAGTCGAGACAACCCTCTCAGTTTGGAGGGAGCCGAGCCTACTAGGTAAGCACCTCCAACCTTTCCAGGTAGAACATGTAAGCTACTAGGGGCTTCTGGCATCGCTTCTAGGAGCAAGAAAGGGGCTCCTGGCATACTACTAGTAACAAGAAGCTATTTGAAACAAGAAATAAAATAGACATAATAAGCTACTAGGAACAAGTGCATCGCTACTAGGAGCAAGGGCCTTGGACCCCCACGATCCCAGCGATCCCAGTGGGCGGTCCGCCCAGGTTGACGTCCCAGAAGCTCTCGGACTATCTGGTGGATTGCTGGCCCGGGGAACTGCGGTCCGGACGGTGATGGGTTTGGTGTGTGGTTTGGTTGGTATCTGACTCCGAAATCGGACGAAAGCCTTACATAGGCCGATCTTTGTCTTTTCTCTGAAAGCTCGAGGCTGGGGGGTGGCGTTTCGGGACTGCCTCCGACCAAGCAACCTGTGATGACCTGTGGTGACGTGCACGTTGCGATGCGAGTTTTTGCACAAAGAACGCGGCCCCGTTTTTGGATCTGGACATGCTGGATGCCTTGCAGCGCCATCCGACGTTTGGGAAACGAAGAGGTTTTCTCTGCTTCCCGCTCCAAATGTAAGCCCGAGCCATTTCCGCGCCATCCACATGCTGCATGCACTTCTTCCCCAGAAAGTGGAAACCAAAGCGTCGGTGATGGCATTTGTGGCTGATTTCTGGCTCAGACCAGCTCTCACGACATCCACGTCAGCACCAAAAAGCCTGCACATTTGTTTTGTCCATCAAATAACGGCTGAAGAACACACCAAACATGCGCCCAAGGGTTTGATGCACCGCATTTGTCCTGGAAAATTCCGTGTAGCAGTGTAGCCGTATAGGACAGTCTTCAGCTTTTGTAAGGGAGAAGGGAGCTATCGAGATGATCATGATGGGTTCTACAACTTCTGCATGTTAAACATGTTTGTTTGTTTCACATTGGCACATGGCGTGTTCACACACCGTTAAAAAGAACAGTCTGAGCATCAACCCACCTGGCCATTCGGCCTCGGGTCAGCAGTGAAGGCCGAAGGAGCCACCGAACGAGCTGATGCTCAGATGGCGGCTGAAGCTTTGGCTTTTGCTGGTGCCTTGACCGGAAGAGCAAGGGAGCTGTTTGAAACCCGGGGGGGTGGCACAACGCACTCAAGAACTTGGATTGTTGAGTGTTGACACATGTTGATTGATACCTTTCAAGACGACATCTCGGAACACCAGTAGGAGAGAGCGCCATTTTTGTTGCTTGCCCTAAAGGATGTGAAAAACCCTGTTGGAATGCATTTTTTGACTGAGTTGCTTTCCTGATCCGGAGGCCTGTGCACATGGGGCCCTCTTTCCGGAAGAGGCCAGCGGAGGGCCGTGCCGCCGGACGCGGGAACCGGGAAGCTCCACGTGCGTCGCCGACTCCACAAGCAGTTTGGACGGCATTCCATGTTGAACTGCCTGTAGATATTGCTCAAAAAGGGGATAACGAGTGGCATGAGGAGGGAGCCTATGATATGCCATCCCCTTGTGGTTATCACCTATAAATGCCATCCACTTGTTATATACTGCTCAAATCAAATTCTTTTTTATCCTCGAAAAGGGAGGCTTGGACCGATTTCCTTGCAGAATTACTCTCTCGCTCTCTTGAACATGGTGTTCGTGCAACACCCACCACCTGGTTGATGTTCTGGTCATCCGAGTCTTTGAGGCCATGCACTCCAGGTCACCATGAGGACGTTCCAGGGAGTCTATCCTTCGTAGATGTAGATAGTACAGTGCCCCCCATCGTAGATGTAGATCCTTAATGGTTCAACCCTTGTGATGTCTCTCGACGGACACCGCGGTGACTGGTCTCACCTCGAAGCAGGAGTAAAGATGGTTCGGAGGTATTGCAGATCGATCCAGTTGGAGTTGCTTCATAGATTTCAGCATAGTCTCCTCACTAAGGCAGATTTAGAGACTCTTTGATGGATTAGGCCCAGTAAGAACGGAACCTGGATGACCTGGAAAGGAGACAAAAAGATGGACTGGCATGCTGGAAACAAGACCAAGTGACGAAGGGTTGGTCATTTGGCTCAATTTTTTCAGGTCATGAAATTCGAAAGCCCTTTTCTGCTCGCTTTCCACATGTGCTTTGCACTTGTGCGTAGATTGTTGTTTGTTTCTATTTTTTCTCAATGCTCTTCAGATATTTTTGTACAAGCCTGGACGGTCTTCAAGTGAGGCGTGTTGGGGGATGTTCCAGAGGACTTGGCCAAATCGCCATTCCAAGTCGACGACACGCATGACCGGCACGAAGCTGGTTTCTTCGTCACCCGTGAGCTGGTCTCATCTCCCAGCCGAAAGGTCGTCGGAATCGTTACGAATCGTGCTTTTCCCTCATCCAGCTGATGGGGTTGGACAAGAAGTGTTGAAAGCCTGGGACCTCGATGTAGGGATTCATCCGATATTTTGGAAAGATACCACAGGAATCGATCATGTTCGACGGCCTTTCACCAGAGCTTTTCAGTGAACATCACTCGAGTGCGTTTGTTGCGGCTGCCATCTGCCAACACACCAAGCATGTGGTCAAGCCTTTCAACCCTCCTTTCAGCTGTTCCCCCACTGACGCCTTTTTGTGGGTGAAGACGATGACTGGCTGTGGTCGATGCGTGCAGGAAGTGGCGCTGGCACGAGGGAAAACCGCCCTGGTCACTGGCGCTGCTGGCTTCATCGGGAGCCATGTGGCAAGGCCTGATACCGATTTGGGGTGTACATGGATGTCGCAGTCCAGAATAGAACCTTGCATCATAGATTGGCCTTCCATGAGCGCACGTTCCTTTTTAAGGGCCAAACAGTTTTCAACAGGCGAACAGCCCCCGGCAATGGGTTTTGTTGAGGGTCAGTGGGGCAAGATCCCAACCTTGCAGAAGGATGACAAAAATGTAGGGCCTTTGCCTTGGGCAGTCTTCGAGGCACCGGGTCACTTCCGCTGCGAACGGAGGCATTGCTCCGACCTTGGGATGCGGGTCCTGGCGCTGGATGACTTGAGCGGTGGTTTCCGGGCCAACGTGCCGGAGGGAGTGACCTTCATTCAAGGACGCCAGCAGCACCGGTGTCCGGATGCGGAGGGAGGTCTCTGGTCTCTTGTGCGACTGGTGTGTGTCCGTCCGGATGCGGGAAACTGTGGCAGGTGATGATGGGAATTGTGGTTCAATCCGTGATGAGATCGAATGCACGGAGTGTTGTCCAATGTATCTCTGGTTGATTTTGGACTGTTATGAAATCAGCTGAACTCTACATGAGACCTGCGCTCCCCATGCGTGTGCACGAGTTCTTGCACGTCAGAACCGTTCATTTTTTCCAGGCGTCTTGCAGCGCATCACACCCTCGCTGTTCCAGTTCTGCAACGACATAACACTACCCTTTAATTTTTTTGATTCCATGTCAAAACAGATACAGTATATTTTGATGCCCCAAACCACTGAAATGCACATGTCAAAACAGATGTATGTAAGTGCTTGTCTCTGGAACTTTTGTGATCTGTTTTTTTCTGTTCAGCGACACACCCCACTTTGACGGAAGGTGGCTAGTTCTTCAATGTTTGCGCAGGTCATCGGATGTTCCTTTGGACAAAAATAGTTCGAGGGTGTTCCACTCAGACGCATGTACCTAGTTGTAGTTCCCAGAGACGAATCGGCTGTGCATTCTGAAGTCTTTCTCAGATTCTTCAGAGCTCGTCCCTGCGCGTTGTCTCCTAGATGTCTAGCCTCTTGCAAGGAGACATCCGGGACGCTCAGTTGTTGGAACGGATCTTCAATGAGCACGAGGCGCCGCGAGCTTCCAACGCGAAAGCAGCGCGTGGCGGGCGGTTGCACGACTGAACCCCCCGACAGTTGATGGAAGACATCCTGAACTGGAGAATGCCCGAGGATTTTGGCAGAAAGAAAGGTGTTCTATCAGCAGCTCATGAGTCTAGCTGATTCTACACTTTCCAAAGCTTCTGACTCAGGACACTGGCCTGCCCAGGTCTTTCGTAGATGTCCGTTGGGGTGCACCTCAATGGTGTTTGTTGACTCGAGCAAGTGCTGAACATCAAGGAACTTTCAAAGTGTCTTATGATGCAGATCCACACTGAGGCCATACGAGGCCCTGAGAAGAATCATCCCGAATTAGACATTCCAGAAGAACTGTATGCCGATGGGCAGTTTTCAGTTGACACCTCGAAATTACTTGAAGAGAAATCTTTGCGAGATCATGGTTGTGACAAAATACATGCCACAAATTACAAGCTCCTTTTTCTGTTGAGCTAACATGGTAATCCTGAGGTAGATAGAGTTCAGAAACATCCCCCAAACAAATCCATCCTGGTGCAGACGAAAGACACTCGCCTTATGCTTCTATATCCACTTCATTTTGTGAGTGGGCAACGTGAACCGTGCTAGGTGCATTATGTGTACCACCTCGCAGCCTATGCAGCTGAAGGCGACGGCAAAATGGGGGTCACACGGGCGGTTTTGGGGTTCCAAAGTCGGGTTCCAAAATCGCTGGGCCGCTGGGCGGTTCTGTTATTCAACGAGGCGGATAATTGTTGAGTCTTGCTTGTTTTCTTTTTTTGAGTTTGAATTTGTCGGTTGTAGTTGTGCTTGAGTTGTATAGTAGGTAATATTCTTCCTGGGTTGTAGTTATAGTAGAGCTCTATCCTCTCCAAGTGCCGTCTCATGAATATGCTGTGCGAGATTTACTTCGTGGCTCCTAGTCAGCATGCCTTCCGGGCACGTGCGCCTTTGAAGCATCAATCGTTAGAACAATTGCATTTCAAGAGCAAGTCGTGGGCATTCTGCCCCCAATCCGTATGGTCAATTGATACAGCATGGTCGTTCAGAGCCCCCAAGTGGAGGCCACACCGGTTCAGGTTCGGCCCATCCCTGGGTCCCCTTTAAACAGAGTTGAGGGTCGCTCGCCCGCGGGAGTTGTTCTTCGCCGAAGGCCTTTCGCATTTCATTCGTTCCTACAACTACCGGACCAACCTGGTGGGCTCTGCCGCTGGGAACAAGAAAGCGGGTGTGAGGAGAGTCAGAGAGTCAGAACAGGGAGGTGCCTTTGTCAGACAGCTCCAGTGAATCTATGTTTTATTTTAAAGTTCTTATCTTTTTCTACCTTACACTTTTGGCTGCGAAAACTCGTTAGTGCGCAAACCGTTCGCGGTCAAGGTAGAGATTTTGAACCAAGCCATCAAGCACCGCGTCCACTGCTTCGTCTTCACCTCGTCCATTGCAGTCTATGGCAGCATTAATGTGACTGAGCCAGAAAAAGACCGATGGGAGGCAGATCTGGGATCACTGGGAGAAGTAGGTCAGAAGTAGGCCAGTCGTTCTTCGAAAGTTTCAGTGTTCTTTCTCCGAAACCACCCCTGTGTCACGCCGATTTTTCGGAGGCTCCATGTGGTGTTTGGGTTTTGTTTGGGGTTTTGGGCGAAAGGATCCAGGCCATCCGTGCAACAGACGGCGCGGTGAACCGCGCACGACTTGCACAGTCCCAGGATCTGTCACAGATGCAGAACCCTAATCGCTCGCTGAGCACCAGTGGCCACAAGGCTCTTCATCATCAACAAGGCAGGAACTTGGTGCACGAACGATGTTTCGGCATGGTGGGAGAATGGCCAATTGACGACCACTCTGTTGTACCATACGCTTCAACCTCATAAAAGGGCAGATTTCTTGAAAACCCGGAGCCCAAGAACACCCGGTGCTTCCAAGAATAGCAGTTCTCCGTCGGAGAACACCACCGGCGTGCCGGTTGGCCGATGCCGGAAGGCCTGAAGGAGGAGGACCGACCGACGCCCGAAGACCCCTACGGCATCGCGAAGTTCGCCTTCGAGTTGGACCTCCAAGCGGCCAAGGCAACGGTCGCAGCAGCGTCACCGTGGCCGGAGAGTGGTGGGTAGGGGGGTAGGGGGTTGTGGGGTTCTGTAGTGGTGGAGGATGGTGGAGATGGGAATAGATGAGATGCAACACATTCTGTTTTAAGACCACTTGGGCGGATTTCACCTGAATTCACGTGCAATCGCAAGTCATCGCAGCAAGCTCTAGTTCTGTCGCAGGAGCTCTTTGGCATTGACTTTGTGATCTTCCGGCCGCACAATGTCTACGGCCCTCATCAGGCGAGGAAGAGGAACGGTGCCGGCATTCGACCCTGAGAGGGGGTTCGGCATTCGACCGTGAGGGAACCAGGCCGCATGCTTGGGGACTCGAAGTGAAGAAACGAGTTATAAAGGACCTTTGGCCTCAGCATGCCGAGAAGCCCAGATAGTGGGAGCAAGGAAATCCAAGGTTGAAGCAAAAGAAGCCTACATTGACATATTGCGCTTGCGAAAGGGTTTTGCAGCTATCTCAAACAGGCTATTGGTTTTTAAAGATCCTCTGGGTTTCTCGCAGTGTTCAGCTGGGATTGATGGAAGCTTTGACAGTCCACAAAGGTAATGCAGGACCTGTTTGCCACCAAAAATGAGGTTCCTTGGAAGTTCACGGATATGGCATTAACACATCCTTTTTTCCAGGGAGGGCCATTTAATTTAGGATTTTTTTCCCGAAAGCATTGCGAAGGGTTCTTCCGGAAAATCCTTTGAACACTGACACTTCGACACTTACACTTAGACACACTTAGACATTGACACTTTCACCACACTTGCAGGACAACATGAACGCTATACGTAGCCCTGTGTAAGTGGAAGAGCGAAAGCAGTGAAGTGCAAAGTATGCAATGCAAGTGTCAAAGTATGCAAGTGGAAGTATGCAAGTGTAAGTATGCAAGTGATGAGTATGCAAGCATGCAATGAGTATGCAAGCATGCTATGAGTATGCAAGCATGCAATGAGTAGGCAAGTGTGAGTATGGAAAACTAGCACGGGAGATGTCCTAATGAAAAACATTTCCCCACTTTATAAATTCTCTCTTAAAGGCGGAGGGTGGGACGAACAGCGTCAACCGAAAGTGCAACCCTCTGCGGAGATCGTGCGTGTCGAGTGCGCGAAATGCAGGC